CAGAAGAAAAATAAAAAAGCCTATAGTTGTCTTTGGTTTCAATATCTACAAGAAATCTGGGTTACGATCTGGTATTAGCCACTCATTGGCATTCAACGAAGGGGACAAAGATTGAGTAAGTGATGCAAGAGAGAGAGAGCACCTGCATTGTGACTTCACCATGAATTAATTTTTATTTTGGCATCATTGTGAATCGGCACAGAAACTGATGTAACTGTATAGCTGCAATAAATATTTCAGTGGGACATTAGCAAATTTGGACTAGTGCTGTGATGGCAAACCTATGGCATGTGTGCCTAAAGTGGCATGCAAAGCCATGTTGCCGGGCACGCGTGGCCTTGCCTGCTTTTCTTCTGGGTTTCTGGCAAGCACACACATGCGACGATCAGTTGTCCTTTGCGTGTGTGGCAGTGCCAAAAAGCGGTGTGCGCATGTGCACCAGCCAGTTGATTGTTGGGTACGCATGCACGCCAGAAACCAGAAGTTCGGCTTTTCCTGAGCGCGGCCCCGACGAGTGTGCGTTGAGTGCATGCGTCATTTCCCCGCGACCTTTTTGGCACTTGGTGCCGAAAAGGTTCGCCATCACTGGCCTAGCCATCAGGCTACAAAATGGAAGACTGTGAGTTCTAGTTCCACCTTAGCCATGAAAGCCAGTTGTGTGACTTTGGGCCAGTCTCTCTCCCTCTCTCAGCTCCCAGAGTTGTTGTGGGGAAAAGAGGAGAAGGAGGGGTTTTTGGATAGGTTTGCTGGTTTCAGTTATTTATAAAAATAATAAAGGCAGGATACATAAAAAATATAATCCACAGTGAAAATGACAATCAGGAACCAGGAAAGTTCATCTGGCAGATATTTATTTCTTTGTTTGTTTGTTTGATTGATTGATTTATATGCTGCCCATCTCATTATTGAGTGATTCTGGGGGATATGGAAGAAAGGGAAAAAATTCACATATTGCCCTGCATTGACAATAGCAATAAACATCTCTGGCATTCCAACCAAAAAAGGTTAAAACAGTATTTCATTTATAAATAATACATTTTATTTTAATTTCTTTGAATTTTTCAGTGATGGCACTTCAATATGGTTCTTTTTAAATTCAGCACGCTTGAAATGAAAGAGGCAGGTAAGTAATATCTCTAGAGAGAAGAAAATATCCTTATCTATCAAAATAAAAGTGGCTATTACTATCAGCCCCAAACTGTTTCCTAGAATAATTTATACCGATATCTGATTATGCAGAAAAGAGCTATGCTGATGTTACATATATCTATATATCCAAATCTATATTGAAAAATTATCCATTCACTTTATATGCTACCCCCCAACCACCCATTTTTTTTGTCTAGTAAGGGAAATTATTTAGCCTCGCATGTAGTATGAGACGTATCATAGGGCTCACCTTCCGAATAGTTGCATGCCTGAGACAGAGCCTGACAATGAGACAAGAGAGCAATTCGGGACACAGTTACACCCATCACGCTCCCCTCCTTGCTGGTTTTATACTGGAAAAAAAAAGTATATTAACATCGTCAATTAAACTTCCTCTATCAGGAATCACTACATCATGATTCATAAAGATGCAGTCATTTGGTCTTTCTCTCTTTTCATGACCACACTTGTGTGTTTGTGTAGTGGAGTCCACCTACAAAAGCACTCAGTGTTGATCACAATGCAAAAAAATGTAAGCCTGGATTTTCTTCCCTTACATCATCTTCATTCTAAATAAATGTGGGAAATTTGTGACGTAGGTTTCTGCAATTCTTGGCACACCAAAAAAGATCTACCGGATTAAAAAAAAAAATAGGCAGACGGAATCTGCTATAAGTGTAGAATGTTTACTTGCACTGTAAAGTTAGCTCCTAGTTCAGCAAATGATAACATTCTCCATAAAACCCAAATCAGATAAGGCACACCAAAATGCTGCTATATTGGAATCCTTGATTTTAAACATGCTAAATACTGAGGAGGTGTTCAATAATTCTGCCTCCTTGTTCCAGATGAAGTGTGTTTTCACTACTTAAATATTTGTGTCACGTTTGTTAAATCCCTATAAGACATGGACTGAGATTGTGAACAAAATCTAAATTAATCTTAAAGCACACATTTTCAAGAAAAAGAGGACATGCCTGGTGCATGAAATATTTGCAATGACCTAAAGGTATTAATAATTGTAATATATTTTATTTTGTCAAATCCCATTTGCACCTATATACTGCAATATATGTAAAAATGCATGTAAAAAAATAGGGACCACCTTTGGTGGGAAGGTAATAGCGTTCTGTGCACCTTCGGCGTTTAGTCATGCCAGCCACATGACCACGGAGATGTCTTCGGATGCTGGCTCTTCAGCTTTGAAATGGAGATGAGTAGTGCCCCCTAGAGTCGGGAACGACTAGCACACATGTGCAAAGGGAACCTTTACCTTTACCTTACCTCAATATAAGCTGGCTCAGTCCCTGCATTTGAAATGTTGGGCTGCCAATCCTTTGGTGTTTTGGAGAGGTACTTGGAATCTGTAACCACCCACTTGAGCCTTGGCCAACCTAGAACCAAAAAAGAAACCCAAACTTTAGGCCACGAGTTGTTAGGGTTGCACTTACAGTGCAAATCATGGGGATTTGGCTCATTCAAAAGCAGCTTGCTACCACAAATTCAGTTCCCCCGTTTTCTCAATGTCTAATCCTCAGGAAAAGTTAATTTAAAGGAAAACAGGCGATAATGATACATACAGACACTATGTATACAATACATAGACAGAGTACAGATTACTGTGAACCACAAAAAGAATGATGAAATTAGGGCTGTCTCAGAAGACAGGCAGATTTCTCAGAAACTCTCTTTGCACAGAAATAATTGTGCTAATGAAAATCTTTTTTTTTTTTGGCTATTTTTCCATAATTGTATCGGATGAAGTTGCTATGCACCAGCTGTTTACAAATATGTGAAACTGAGAAAAAAATAAGCAGACCATATTATTTTCATAGCATGAAGTGATACTCAATGTGTAAGCTATTTAGAGCTTCACTATTCTGTGTTCAAAGCGACAAAACAAGACCATGTGTTTCTAGTTCATTTCCATTATGAAAGATACTGTGGTTGGTGGATTCAACAGCAGGCGTATACAGTAGATAATTCTAATTTTTGCACCCTAACAATCTAATGATTCCTCTACTAGAGGAATGACAGATGCTATATATTTTTGTGATAGTTAAATTCATAACCTGATTATGCCAAGTACACTTACAATTAACTATATTTAGGTCAATTACATTATTTATTCCACACTGAGAACATATGCACCAGAGACAAATTCCTTGTGTGTTCAATCACGCTTGGCCAAGAAAGAATTCTATTCTATTCTATTCTACTCTACAACTGGTGGAGAAGTAGATGTAGGCAACCATTTTCATTACTTTTAAAAAATATTAAAAAAACATTGTAAACATAACAAACCCTTGAATTGCACAATTTCTCCATTTTGTGTTTTGGGGAGTCCTTTCAGGCAAACTTCAGTGGTGAGGGCCAAAGCAATGCCACAACTACCCAGTAGAAAGCCAATCTGCTGGCCACCAGCATCCTAAAGAAAAAGAAAGGGGACAACTATGATTTGCAGACTAGTAACCAGTGTCACTTTTAACCACACAAAACTTATATTTTAGTAAAGTATTAGTAAATGGATAGTAACATTGTGACAGAGTAAATGCACATATCCAGGCAGTGGTTTGAGAATAATATCAATTGTCGGAAAGCATAAAATTGCCTAAAATTTGACTCTTTATTAAACACAACTTGTAATCTGAATTGCAATCTCTTTAATAAGAAAAGAAGTTTCAATTAAAGGTGATTTTCAGACTATTGTTCAAATTAAATAAATGTGTTCTTTTGGCATAACAATTAACATAGCTATGGAATACTCTACTTTTTTCACTATTCAATCTTAATTTTTATCAAAATTGAAACATGTAAAAATGTCAAACTTTAAACAAGCACAATAATGTTTAAAACATAACAACAGAGCTTTTCAGCAACCGAAGGATCTACCCTTCCCTTATGTGACTACTGTGCTATAAAACTCAATGGAATGACGAATAGACACCAGTGTCTCCGCTATTTTATTTTAGCAAAGTGCCTAATTCTGAGATTCTTCTCCTATTTTACACTATATCTGCATGCACAATGAGCATACAGAGAAAGATACAATGGTTTTGTGAGTTTGTCCATATAATAGCTGTGAAATGAACATCTCTTTGCAATCCTGGGAATTTAGCAAAGGAGCAACTGGTAGAAACCTCAAGAATGTAAGTGCATCTAAGAGCAACAACTTGTTTGTTTCTTATTTGCACTCACGGCTTATGACACCTCTATGATCAACCACTATTACCTTTCGGGTTAGAGGCACCTCTATCGGCACTGGCAGGACTTCAGCCAGCAAACAGCCATAGAATGCCACCATGAACATGACAGGGTCATTATTGGGATAAACAAGGGCTACCTGTGATTCAAAAAAATAGTTCGTTAGAGAAAGAAGGGAAAACAGCATTAGTGTTTTGACCATTACTTTTAACAGGTACAACTGCTTCACTTAGCAATGAAAATTGTATTCCCGATTACTGTTAAGTGAGAACTACCTGTACATCTGATTGATCACTCTTGCTTATCATAAGAAGTGCGAGTTAGAAGGTAAAGCATCTTACCCTGTCTCCGGGTTTCAATACAGGTTCGTTTTTGGTGCCCAGCTTGTTCAATAGTGTATATGCCAACTTAAGGCTTCTGCTCCACAGCTTGCCTGGAATAAAGAGAAAAAGCAATCAACACATTTGTGGCATTAGCAACAGCATTATATACATACATAATATTTATTATTTATCAAAGAGGTACATTCATATTTCAACCATGGTATCTGATTCAGTTTGCAGTATGAAGGGGAAAAGGGTCCCAAAAATTTAAATTCAGCAGCTAAATCCTGATAAAGAGCCAAGGTGGTGCAGTGGTTAAGAGTGAAGTATTGCAGGCTATTTCTGTTGACCGCCAGCTGACTGCAATTTGGCAGGTCGAATCTCACCAGGTTCAAGGTTGACTCCACCTTCCATGCTTCCAAGGTCAGTAAAATGAGGACTCAGATTGTTGGGGAAAATATGCTGACTCTATAAACCACTTAGAGGGGGCTTAAAGCACTCTGAAGCGGTATATAAGCCTAAGTGCTATTGATATCTCTTTGAGTTTATCTGTTTGCTTGATGCATTAAGCAGTTAATTGATGAAGTAGTGTTTTGCTAATCTGCATTCATTCTGCCCTGCATGGACATTAGGCTTTTGTCTAATATATAGAGCATATATCGATTATATATAGCTATAGTATATACTTACATCTATGACACCATAGCACAAATTGTGTATTAAGTTTCACCAAATAGTCAGCAAATCAGTTCAGATTGGATACATTAAAAGAAAAAACAGGTAATCCAAAGTAATGAGAACACTGTTACTATTCTGTTTTGTAAATTTCAATTGTCATTAAGTTTAGATTTTATTTGGGGTATAGCAAAAACATGTATGTTTGTGTATCATTGGGTATAGAGCTACCTTCTGCTCCATAGCAAG